TAAAAAAAAAAAAACAATGTCATCATAAAATCTCTGAACATCTAGCTACCAAATTTTTAACTTTGAACCAACAATTGTGTCATCCAAGCCTTTCCTATGCTTTCGTGGTGGTCCAAAAGCCTCTTGTACGCCCTGAGCATGCATCTATCTTGAATTTGTTTTATCGGTATTTTTAACATGGTTATAATCTTTAACTAAATCTTTCACATTCTATTTTTGAGAGGAGAGAACTTTCTTTAATTTTAATTCTTTGTGTTCAGCCTCAGCATGCTTAACTCCTTTATACTTCTTTGTGCCAGCTGTTTGTCTGTTTTTTGATAATCTCACTCTAACTTTTTGTTGATCCATTTCTACCTTTATTACTTGGAAGCTTTTTGTAAGAATTACTCCAATCTTTTTTCTGATTACCAACTCTATAATGAACATTGCTAATTGACAACTGCAATGAAGCACTTCTTCCTCCTTTGCAAAAATTTTGATTTGACGTTCTATCAGGCTTTGTTATACCTAAATCAAAGCTATGTTCAATATTAACTTTAGATTTACCACTATAATGACGAAATTTAGCCTTTTGCTTTGCATTCATGGAATCACCATTCCCATTCTCAAAAGATCCATTATTCATCTCTGATTTGAAAGACCCATCTACAACAACAATAGTTTTTTAGGATGAAAAACTTTACCTTTATGTTGTGCAGATTCCTACAGTGAGCAATCAGAAAAGAATCACTCAAAGAATATATAGCCATATTTTTTTTATTTTCATCATAAGCATTCATGTTATTCTATGGCGAAGTATTAGGTTTCCCCTAAAATACAATAGCTACAATTTTGTTGTAATCACTTAACAGAGCACCATTGCTATTAAATAATTTAGCCAAATAAGGCTTTAGCTTCAAGGAACAATTAACAAGTACTTTCTCAGCTAGCTTCTTAGCTACGTGTAGAATATTCTTTTCAACAACTTTCACACCATCCAACATACATGAAAGAATTCGTGCAGAATATTGTCAGTCACCTCCAAAATAAGTGTCATCATCTCCATTGAGGAGAAGATAGTATCAGAATGCTTTGACCTTATTGTGTTAGGAAATGCTAAAACATTTTGAATATCAAATCATCACAATCAAGATCTAACATCAAAACAGAGGATCAGACCTTTGCAACAGTTTCAAGTATTGAAACTCTCTTCGAAAATGAACAACTTGAAATCTCATCCAAATTCTTAAAAGCTCGAACAATCAGCCTAAATATCTCTTTCATTATATTATCATCATATGGAGCATTTGGTGTTGTTATTCTTGTTATTTCCCTAAGACAAAATGCAATGTAAACCTTCATATCCATATCTAAGTGCTCTAAAAGATCATTGGCAATCAATGCCTTCATAGCAGGTTGAACATCAATCAACATTGAGGTAGATGGAGATTGATCCATTCTTGATAATAAATTTTCAACTTTATCAAGAAGCATCAGAAGCTATTGTAAATAAGATGGAGAAGACGCCAGCTTATTCTCGATGTCTGACCCCATCCTCCAACAGTAAATTATCAGGCGACAATTTGCACAGATGTGCGTGAGAGAAGGCCGCATGTACGACAATAAGGGCTCCAAGTTCTTGTCCCTTGCAAGTGCACATAAGACCACCGATTTGGTGATCAACCTGAGATCTACGACAATATGAGAGAACGTGCATGTAGTTTTCTACCTTCAACAAAATGGTTGGGTAGAAGGGTCGGTCGACTATCCAGGATGGTGACAGAGGTGTCACAGAAAGATCTAGCATATGTGGAGGAATTGCAATCACAACATCTTCCTACTTTCTTCTATTCTGGTTTCAACTGCCATCAATGCCACCCCTTCTTTCCTATTTTGTGTGCTCTACCACTGTAGCTGGTTGCAACCTCTATGATTTTATCTAAGATAAAGCAAGTTGTAGTTTTTCCTTTGACTATTCTCGATCGACTTCAGCAACCTCACAAGAGCGGCTATTCTCTTCAATCCTTTAGTATTTTAACAATAAATATAATTTATCTCCTTTTACTCTCTTTAGTACTTACTGAATAATTGAATCTCAGTGTGGCTATGAATATTGTTGAATTTCACTGAACCAAATAAATTTGTGCTTCTGCCTTTCAAATTTTTATTCTCTACTATTTATTTATGAAGATAATTTGCTGGAGAAAATTTTCCTTCCTAAATTAGACCCCTCCTTATATATCAAGTAATATCCTCATTATTCTACATCTTAGATTGATAAAATAACATAAATTCAGCATATGGATCACATAGTTTAGTAGAAATTTTACATAATGCAATGTGACACAAATTGTCAAAACCACTTCAGGCTGTTCTTCACCTTATAAATCACAATTCTTCTCCATTCATATCTAGTTGCACCAAAACTTGTTGTATTTAAATAACTTGTAGCACACCGTGCTTCTAAGGCTTCGTTTGGAGCAGCTTTTTTATTGTTTCCTAAAATAAACAAAAATTTTAATTTTTATACTAAAAAGTTGTTTAAAGAAGCAATAAAAAATCGTCCCATTTACATGACTGTATGCTGATAAAGAGAACTGCAGTTGCTAACAACGTTCTGGAAATTTTCATTTAACTCAAAAAATACGAAATGGAGTTTGTTCCCCTCACAATCTTTTCATCGTAAGAGAAACCAATATACATGTCACACTACATTGCACATAAATGTTGTACCATCTTCCTCATCAGCAATAAGGTCATTTCTGACAATTCACTGAAGCCTGAAAGAATTTAGCTCAAAACTATTTGCTGGTGTAGCAGCCCATGCAGTAGCAACAGACTTCAAAAGATAGGCCCCTGAACACTGTTGGATAACATTCCAGAATCTCACACCGGCCTTTGTATTGGAACTAGTTTAAGGCTTCGTTTGGGACGGCTTTTTTACTTCTTGAAGCAGCTTTCGAAATTTTTTTACTAGAAAGCTGCTTCAAGCAGCAGTAAAAAAGCCGTCCCAAATGAAGCTTAAGTTAATTCAGCATGAGATTCATTTACAACTTCGGTCGCAACCTCTCGAGCAACTATGAAAGATTTGAAATAAGGCATTAGAGCCTGTAGTCTCTGATAGTCACCAGGCAGAATTTAGCCGCATATCCAAATTCATCCCTCAAGAATGCGAGATAAATATTAAGTAGAAGATTTCAATCTTGCATTGGTCATTTTGAGTTAGAACTGGAGCACAAAGACTGGGATGTTGAACACTCATCCAAGGTCCATACTGCTGCATCTCAGGGAAAGAGTTGTATCTGGAACTTGTCTGGCAATTATTTGATGTATCGAACTTCGCTTTAGATACACTAGAAGAAAGGATGCACGATTGAAATTTGTGTCAGTTTTTGAAATTTTACAAATGAAGCATTGTAGATGGGATAATGGAATGCAAAGCATACATGAATCGGCATCTTCATATTCTGATTGTTGTGTTCCATTACGACTTCCGTAACCACTAAATTGTGAAGGCACGTGAATAGGATTAGCAGAAGAATTAGAAGATGCAGGGCTATCAAATTCTGAGTTCCTCACAGCTTCCGCATCCTTTTTTTGCTGAATAAAGCTTGCTTTGCTACCCTGATAATAAAAATCCTGAATTATATCCATGACAACTAATTCTTAGGCCATAATGATAGTTTCTATCCGATAACAAAATGAAAATGATACAATGATATTTACTCCCATTCCGGACAAGAACACAGTGTTAGACCGGTCCAGCCGGTCCGCACAGGACCGGCAAGTCGCAAAGAGCGACAGATCTCCGCCTCCTGCGGAGATCGATCGGCCCGACCAGCCCGTTAGATCATTTTAGGAAGCGTTTTTTAGCGTTTTGAGAGGGAAATTTGAACGTAGGGACTGTTTAGGGAATTCCTTTTGAATTGTATGCATTAAATAGTAGATTTTCCTAGGGTTTGATCATCTTGAATTTGGCTGAAATTTGAGTCTCTTGGATTTAGGTTTTCTTTGGGCTCTAGCGGCGTCTAGAGATTTGGGAGAGATCGATCCTCCTCTCGAATTGAGGATCAATTGTATCTTTGCTGTTTTATTCATCTACTAGTGAAATACAAGAGTTTTTCTTCGTTTTTTCTCAGATTTCTCGTGTAAAACTCCTGTTTTTCTCTGTTTTTGGGCTGTTTCTTGCTGTGGACAGCAATAAATCTGCTGCAGTTTACTGATTTTGGGTAGGAACACTTGTGAATCCAAGTGTTTCCTATCACACAGCTTCTACGAGGAGTCAGAACCTGAACTTACATAGAGACTACTCAAATTAGGATTTAGAATTATATTACTACGTATAATCTAAGAAATTTTTCAAATTGAATTAATAATTTGAAAGAGTTCGTTGAACATTTATGATTTTAAAATAGCTGAATGTACTAAATCAAAACTAGCAGGAATATTCTTCAATCAATATGGTGAAGTCTAGGGGTGTCAAAAATTGATACGAGCCAAAAACCTGACTCGAATCCGACATGAAAATTTCGGGTTCGGGTCTTGATTTTTTACCTGTTTCGAATTCCGGGCCGGGTTCGGGTTGACTCGGAAACCCGGTTTTGACCCGGAATCCAACCAGTGAGCGAACTCCCGTCGTTGCTTCCAATCAAAATGTTGTAACTTCCGATCCAATTGGAAGGGAACATCGACACATCGTCCAAGGAGTGAAGTCGAACGACTACGAAGAAGTGCACGAAAGGGAGAAAACCTTCATAGCGAGTGAACTCCCACTGTTGCTTTCGATCAAAATGTTGTAACTTTCGATCCGACGAGAAGGGAACATCGTCCAAGCCTCCAAGGAGAGAAGTCGAATGGCTAAAGGGAGAAACCTTCACAGCGAATGAACACCCGTTGTTGCTTCCGATCAAAATGTTGTAACTTTCGATTCAGACTGGAAGGGAACGTCGTCCAAGGAGCAAACTATGCAGGTCGGGTTCGGGTTGACCCGAACCCGAAGCGGGTCAGGTTATGGTCCGAAAAAACAACCTGTTTGCAAAAACGGGTCGGGTTCGGGTTGACCCGCACAGTGCCGGGTCAGTTTCAGGTTGGACCCAAACCCGACCCATGACCCAATTTTGACAGCCCTAGCGAAGTCATATTAGTAAATCTTCATGGCTAACATGAAACATAAAGCTCAAGTCTTTAAAAAGAAATAAAAATAGACCTATGATGGAACTATTTTGGTTCCACTTTAAGAAATTGAGGGACCAAATGATCATTTAATAATTATGGACCATTTTGATCTTTCATAAAGAGCAGAATCATTTTGGTCATTTTATCGACTTTTATATTATCATTATCACCTTTATTAAAAGCCTTACGCAAAAAAAGAAGAAGAATGAATTAAGTTGTATGTCAACAAAAAATCCACATGAGGCTTCTACATTGCTTTACATTTTGGGGAACAATACATTTATCATGTAGTTGTTAAGACTTGCATCAATGCTTACTTATAGGGAAAATTCAACTCATCTAAAGCCCGTTAAACACATGCCAATACAAGAATCATGTGCAGTTGGGTTTGAACCTGAGGAAATTGCAACTTATGAATACTTTGATGAAAAATTAGATACATAAGAAGATTTACAATTGCATGTATAAAGATACAAAAAGTCATATCTTAAAGTACCTAAAAGATTCTAACTCGCCTTTAACGCCACCGAATCCACAATGTGTATACATAAGCAGACAAAAAGCGTAAGGCGATCTTTAAAATTTTAACATGAAACCATGCATGCATTTAAACAATAAACTTTTGGGCAAATATTTTAAATCCATCTATTTTTGAATCATGCACACATTATAATATAATGTTAAATTTCAGTGTTACCACGAGAAGCGTACAACTTTTTATCGAGAAGCGTGTCATTACTTCGAAAAAAGTTCATTTGCCTCAAAAAGCAAGCAATTGCCTCAACAAGCACCTTGCTTACAAGAGAACCATACATCCTCCTTAAGAAAAACGCCACTAATGTGGGTAGTGTGCAACCATCTCGAGAAGTGTACAATTTCCTTGAGAAGCGTGCAATTACTCTATGAAGCATTCCACCATTCTAAAAGCATGCAAATGTATCATGTAAAGCATCGGAGAACATGCAAGCGCACAGTGCAGTAGCACCAAAAAGCATGGGAATGCACCAAATATGTGAAATTACTAAAAAAATAATTAACTATATTATGCAAATATATCATGTAGACGCACTGAAAAGTACACAAGCATATTAAAAACATACAAGTGCAACGTGCAAGAGCTTTAAAAAGAGTGCAAATACATTAAAAAGAGTACAACTACGCTGTGAATGCATCAAATAGCGTGTAAGTAACTTTAAAAAAGAAACTATGCTAACATATTAAAAAGCATTCAAATACACTATGTGGACACACCGAGCAATTGGGCCATATAAGAAGACAAAATAGCGTGAATGATATCCAAAAGTCACATCGGATTGTTAAAATTGAAAAATTGGCATGGGCTCCAATCAAATGTATCAAACTCTTAAATTTGAGGTCAAAAAATACTGTGTGAGCTAAAATAATAATGAACTTAAATTTAACCTCGAACTAAGAAGCATGTAATTGTATTAAAAAGCATGCAACCACATTAAACTTTATTTAAAACTTTTTAAAATAAGCTC